TTTTTTTTCTTTCTTTTTAAAAAAAAAAACAAAAAAAAGGAATTCCCCTTCCTTCACTCTTCTCGTGAGCCATGGAATTTTTTTGTCCTTCACCGTCTTTTCAATTTTTCTATTGCAAAAAAAGAGAAGCGATCGTTGACAGAAGCACTTTATGTAAGAGGTCCGTTTCAGCTGCTCCTGCAGGAATAATGGCATGAGAGATTCAGATCGACTTTAAATCTGCCCTGGTGTAAATCATTAAAGGAAAAAGGACAAAAAAAAAAAAAAGATTTGTTGCGCAAAATTTCTAAGTACAATTAAAGATTGATATGAATTTCACTGTGTTTGTGTTTGATTGGAGGGTAACTGTCAAATCAAATTTTATTCCATAACCATTCATGTAACAAATTTTGTACTTTTTCATCAGTTGTAACTTCATTCACCTCTCCCGAAGGGCATGACAGCGGGAGGCATGTGCAGGGCCGGATTTACCTCTTTTCGTGACGGGCAAAACAAATTACAAATACGCCGGCCGTGCCGTTCTCAAGCCCGCCCTCCTCTGCTCACTCTTGCCCACCGTGTGTTTCGTTGTGAAAGCGAAACTACTTTGTTTGGTCTTCCAAAAGAGGACACGACTAGAAATCAGTGGTTAAGTTGTATTTACAACACTGTTCCAGAACACTTCAACCCAAATATTCAGATGTGTGCAGCACATTTTATGGAGGACTGTTTCCTGATCCTGCAGAGTAGACCTCAGTGCAGGCTGTTCTGACCACAAGTAGGGTATAAGTTAACCTCATTAAATATTTTAAATGTGAAAGTAAGAAAATGATCGATGGAAAGAACTTAATTATAGTCCAGATAACAAAATAAACCAATAAAAACCATTTGTGTGGTGTGTTTTTGTGTTCATGGTTAAATTAAATATTTTAAATGTGAAAGTAAGAAAATGATCGATGGAAAGAACTTAATTATAGTTACATGTTTGCTAACAAAATAAACCAATAAAAACCATTTGTGTTTTTGTGTTCATGGTTAAGTAGGGTGACCATATGTGCCATTTTCCCAGGATGCATCCTGGCCAGGATTTCTATATTGCCTAAAATATCTAGGTTTTGGCTTTGTTTGCGTGTGCAGACCGATCGGTGTATGATATCAAAATGCCATACAGACGGCTCCTTGTGCTTTCAAAATGCTCTCGAGGTATTTTGGATCGGTCTGCACACGCAAACAAAGCCAAAACCTAGATATTTTAGGCAATATAGAAATCCTGGCCAGGACGCATCCTGGGAAAATGGCACTATGGTCACCCTATATGGTTAAGTGCTAGCCTAATTTCAACATGCAGTTTATAGGCGAAGACATTAACTAGCTTTGGCCTTTAATTGACATTAACATTAATTTGTGCGCAGCCTGCATTACAAACTGTCCTGTTTGAAGTGTAGCCTAAATGTAATTGGTCAAATCGGTGTTGTTTTGAGCCAATGAATTGCATTCCCGCTGAAAAACAAGTGTTCTAGCTTAAAATGCTTGGGAACTAACGTAGTCGAAACCAAGTTTACAGGACTGCATTCTCTGGAATCCTGTCAAGCTGAGGACTTCTACGCTCCGATTGGTTGCCGGCCAACCGCGTCATAGCTCATTACCATAAAGTTGACCTGACTTCAACTCTCCTTGATGCCCACTGCGCCGTTCCGCTGCCGCCGGCTCACATTGAAAATGAATGACTTCCGGCCACTTTGACGCTCTCGACGGCAGCGGTGTGAACGCACGGTAAGGCGTACTCAATGAATTGTGATTTTAAATGTAGCAAAGTAGAATACTTTGATTAATTTGTACTTAAGTAAAAAGATAAAATTACAGACTTAAACATATACTCGTGAGTACAAGTCCCGAAAAAAAACCTACTAAATCACAGTAACGTGAGTAATTGTAATTCGTTACCTCTACCACTGAAACTCCGCCCTTTTATGACACCAAGAAAAGACTTTCCTGGTAAGTGTCATAAAAGGGCGGAGTTTCGTGATGTTCACAGTAACCTGAGGTTTGACCTGATGATCTACCAGCAATACATATATGAAGAGTTCATTTGCAAAAACAGATAACTCGATTTAAAAAAAAAATTTTAAATCATGTTTTTTCATTGTGCATTCCAATTAATCTCAATCAAACTGCAGTTGGGTTATTTTGATTAAGTTAAAAAATAACACTAACTAACACAATAAAAGAATAAAAACATGATAACATAATAAAAAGGTATCTATTAGTTATCTGTTTTTGCAAATAAACTCTTCATATGTTAAGATGATGCTGATGCTAATAATGACACAGACAGTGCTGGGTAGATTACTTACAAATTTGAGTCCATTACTTATTACAAATTGCAAGACAAAAATTGATAATGAAAATATGAATAATTTATTGCTATTGTGTAATAGCCTATGTAATCATGTAGGCTAATCAATAAAAAGGTAACTGTAATCTGATACAAGTATTTCAAAAGTAATATAATCTAATTACAATTAGCCTACTTAATGTTTGCAATCTGGTTAGTGATCCAGATTACATGTAGCCTAATCAGTTACTACCAGACTGTGTTTCCCAAAAGCATCGTAAGATTAAGTACATCGTAGACGCATTGAAACCAATGGAGCTACAATCAATTTAGGATTACAATGCTTTTGGGAAACGCAGCCCAGCACTGGACAGAGATGAAATAGTGTTGCTTTTAGGTTAAAGAGCTCATTCGTGTGTCAGATTAGACTTGAGAATTTCTAGTTCCACTCTGGAAATAAACACTGAATATAAAATTCAAGATGGTCTTTTGTAACTTTTATGTCTTTATAGGGCTTCAATCATTAAGCCAAAGTTTATACTAATTAAAAATACGTTGTAAAATATGTTGTTCTAGCTGTTCCTGATGTATTACACGTGTTCGTTTCCACAACAGAACAAATGGAGTTGGAAACGTCTAGTGTAGGTAGAGTATTACATTCGTAGGCTAAAAAATGTATAAACATATTTATTTTGAAGTGATAAAGTAAAGTTAGACCCTTGACTAACATCCAAAACACCAGAATGGAGCCAAAATCCGGGTTTGTTTCTTATTTCTACGGTCAGGTTGTAGTAAGACTTCAGTAAGTTACGCAATTTCACCATTAGATATCAGTAAGTCTCCACTGTAGTATTTTCTATTACTAGTTTAACAAGTGTGTAAGCTTTTGGACTAATCAGATACACATTTATTAATTATATTTAATTCATAATCCAGCAAACCCCCTCACTCAACACCAGACTCGGTGCCTACATGTCTGTGAACGACCGCCAGGCCCCTGGTTACCATGGCAACCAGCACACCTCAGCCAGACCAGATAAACTTTAGGACCTAATGGCATGTTGAGAGTTCTCCCTCTCACTATGTTTTACCCATAGGAAAGACATAATGCCCATAAAAATGGACTCTTCTCTAATTAATTAATAGAAAAACCTTTATTTGAATTAACACATATACTTCAGTTCATTGTGTATATTATTACTGTTCTTTCATATTGTCTTTATGCTTATGTATACTTATGATAGAACCATCACTTTTTCTTCTAAATTTGTGCCCTCACGTCTTGTAAAAACATGTTAAATCATGCATTAACGGTTCATATTGTATTTTCATACAAGATATATTCATTTGGAAAAAAAATGTAACATGCAATATGCACTTTAAGTCTCATGCATTCTAAGTAAACCTTTATTTATATAGCACCTTTCAAAACAAAGTTACAAAGTGTTTTTCAATAAAAAGATCAGTACAGCAACAAAACGACCAACAAAATTAAGAAAAAGCTATACGATAAAAATGAGTCTTAAGAAGAGAATTAAAAGATGATACAGTAGCCTGCCTAATATCCCCAGGCAGGGAGTTCCACAGCTTAGGCACACGGATAGCAAAAGCACGGTCACCTTTGGTAACAAGTCGAGATTTTGAATGAATTATGAATGAATGATGCATTTATATAGCAATTTATTGTGTATTGCTGTACACCCAAAGCACTTTACAATCATGTGGGGGGTCTCTCCTCAACCACCACCAGTGTTCAGCATCCACATGGATGATGCGACGGCAGCCACAGGACAACAGCGGCAGTGAGCTCACCACACACCAGCTACAGGTGGAGAGGAGAGAGAGTCATAGAGCCAATCAAGTGGATGGGGATTATTAGGAGGCCATGGTAGAAGAGTGACTGACACGCAATTTGGCCAGGACACCGGGGTTACACCCCTACTCTTTACGAGAAGTGCCATGGGATTTGGTCCTGACCACAGAGAGTCAGGACCTTGGTTTAGCGTCTCATCCAAAGGATGGTGCTTTTTACAGTATAGTGTCCCCGTCACTATACTGGGGCATTAGGACCCACACAGAGCAAAGGGCGAGCACCCCCTGCTGGCCTCACTAACACCTCTTCCAGCAGCAACCTAGTTTTCCCAGGAGGTCTCCCATTCAGGTACTGACCAGGCTCAACCCTGCTTAGCTTCAGTGGGCAACCAGTCTTGGGCTGCAGGGTGATATGGCTATGTCTATTTTGGAACCATTAATAGGGCCCTACCAGAGGATCTCAAGCAACGATCAGGCTCATATTCTAATTTATCTCGCTGGGGAAAACAAAAATAAAATTCTGAGTTTTCTATTTGACAAATGATATTTCCATTACTTACAACTTCAGTAACATCCCAAACTTTTAATTTTCATTCAGAAAATGACTCTGAAATTATATACAGTAATCACAAAAGTTCAAGCCTTGATGGGGTAAGTGGTAATTAGCCCGAAACCATGAATAATAAAATTGTCTCTAATTGGTCTAATTGTGTAAAAGTTCAATTTTCAAAACAAACAAAAGAAAGAAAGAAATCTAATTGATGATTTAATTTTGTTATGTTAACCCTGAATTGCTACAGAAAAAATAAAAAGACAAATAATTTATGAATATAAAAGATGAAAGCAGGAATATCCAGACCTACAGGTGTAATGTTTACTGACTACTAAACGGTAAGATGCTGAGAGGGGAAAAACTATCAAAGGATGGAAAGACAGTGTCAGTGAAGGTGGTTGTGAATGTGTGTAGATGTGTGTTAGTTACAGGATCAGAGAATGACACAGTTCCTCTGTCATAGTCCAGATCAACTCTTACACGCTCAAGATACTGTTTAATATGAAAACCAGACCGTTCACACAATCCATACTGATCATACTGCACATTCCAGACATCAGTGTTATAAAAATCACACCCCTTCCTTTTGTTAGATGCTGTAGTCACTCCAAGACTCCAGCATAAACTCTCTTTAACCTCCACATCCCAGCAGTGTGTTCCTGAGTTAAAACCCTCTGAACCCAAAACACAGTAATAATCATCAAATCTCTCTGGATTATCAGGAAGCGGTTGTTTGTTCTCGCTCCATCTCAGACTGGTCAGATCATCAGACACGAGGAGACGTGGATGAGCCGTGTTTGGATCCAGAATCACAGGAGCTGATGAGACACAATCAACAGCTGCTTTTTTATGATGTTCATATAATGATCAAGAGTGAATCAAACACAGATTATTATAAATTATGACACTCATCCGATTGACAAAACTGTCTGATTACTGAAACCAAACTCTAGAGATCTGCTGTATCACTGTAACTGTTAATTTCATATTCTACTAAAATATGTGAATCTTCCCCCACGCATCATTCACAGTGTATGTGTAAGAGCACAGATCTACTCCAGACTCACTGTTTTGGACTATATCCTGCATCTTCTTCCAGACTCTGAAGGGCAGGTTGCCCAAGTAACGTGGCACCTGAATCAAAGCTCCAGAAGGCGTCCGTGGATCCGACTGTGATGAGATCTGGACTCTGGAAGAACATTCAGGATCAGAACTGCAGTGGCTTTGGCTTCAGAAGCAGAGAGACCAGAGATACCAGCAGATCACTCACCTTTCCATCGAGACTGGAAACTTCTGCAGAACAAACACACAATTTATCATCAACAACTCAATCAATCAATCAATCAATTCATGATTTGAAATCAGACCTTTAGAAAGCAGACATCATTGTCTTTCATCATCTTCTCTGTGTCTTTGATTGTGTGTGAAAGAGCTGAGATGTGTCTGTTCATCTCCTCCAGCTTTTCCTTCATCATCTTCTTCTTCTGCTTCTCTTCCTCCCTCAGTGCAGTGATTGTAGCTTCTTCTTCATCTCTGAGAAACTGATGAAGCTTCTTAAACTGCTGTTTAATCTGACGCTCTGTCTGCTCAGCTTGAGACTGAAATCAAATCACATTAACTTCAATTGTCTCAATGATTTTACTTATTCTGGAGCAGCATAAAGTGTGAGTGTGTAAATTTGGGTTTGTTAACTTTGATTAACTTAAATAATACAATAAATACTCTTATAAATAGTAAACTGCATACAACAGAACTTCCGGTCAATCAAATATTTTGATAGCAAAATTTAAAATGCTAACACTATTACTAGCAACCATGTCTGAAAGAAAATGTATATTTTATTTATGAAATTAGGGGTGGCACGATACCACTTTTTCAGAACCGATCCCGATCCGATACCAAAAGTTCTGAGTATCGGACAATACCGATACCGATCTGATACAAGCACTTCTAAAAAAAATTCTATACCTCAGTGTGTGTTGACCTTATCATCACTCTTTTGTGTGTTACACACAATCTACTAAATATAGACAACTTCATTATAAAGAAAAATTAAAAAATATACAATCATAATCTATGAGAAAAATACTATTATAAACTAGGTTAGTGGATAATTCAGCAGCAAAATTTACTCTACAAAATGATGAGTTCACAATAATTTTATAAAATCTAAACATTTAGAGAAAAAACATTATTTAGTGGGGGAAAAATAAAAGTAAATAGGTGTAATCTGGTAAAATGTTACACATTGCTCTTTGTATTGTAATATACATTCATGAAAAACAAGTAAATATAATTATATATAAATATATGCAATTAATTAAATACATTTCTTTTACATTTATAGCACAGTAATGAGGCAGCAACATATTGTAACAACTGACTGTTGTTCTATAGAACGTAGGGCTGACCGGAGCTAAGATAGGCTGCTAAACTGTTGCTAAGCTAATTGCTAGCGGGGTGCTAGCATCCACGTGTCACAACTTTTAATTTGGCAAGCGGAAATTGCGAGCACTCGCATCCCATACACCGCACAACCCTGAGTGTCTCTGTGAGCAGGAGCACAGACAGAACAAACCAGCAGGAGGCAGAACCTTTCTTCTTTTATTGTGAACACAGAATAAGATCTTACACAGGCAAGGCCATATCGCGAGAGAGATAGATACTGAATATCGGATCGGTGCACCCCTATATGAAATACATATAAATATTATATTTTTCACATTAAACAGAATTATGGGGGGGTAGGGGGTTGACAGATTATTGGTCACTCAATGTTTCTGTGAAAAATGAGGTGCATTTACTGCAAATTTACTGAAATGTAAGGTAATTAAAGGGGTCATCGGATGCCCATTTTCCACAAGTTGATATGATTCTTTAGGGTCTTAATGAAAAGTCTGTAATACAGTTTGGTTAAAATTTCTTAATGGTAGTGTAAAACAACACCGTTTTTACCCTGTCAAAAACAGCTCTGTCTACAGCACGCTGTTTTATTGCATTCTGCTTTAAATGTTAATGAGCTATGCTGACCCTGCCCTTCTCTTCCGAGCCGCTCACTGAGAGACGATAAACTTTAGCCACATTCATCGTAAAACTCGCTAATTAGCACATTATTAGGAAAGGCGATTTGCAAAGATTCATTAAAAAAACCTTACACTCACTTCTTCTGGAGGAAGAGGAATGATTCGCGCGAACATAGAAGCATTTATGTAGATCGGGGGCGCATTCCCTTCAGAAACAAACGTAATTCACTGCGTCTTCAGCGGCTCAGATGTCGGAAGTAAAGGACTACTGCTATGTTCATCATTACATCCAACAACAGAATACCTCAATCGCTTAGGAGTCACTCTTGTCTACATCTGCTCCGGCGGTGAAACAATGGTGGACTGATGACAGCTCAGTCAGGGCGGGTCTAAGGTAAGACACCAGTCCAGTCTGTGCTGAAACGCTACTGTCAATCAAACAATTGTGGGAGGGGCCTGTCTGTGTGACGTCACACAGCTGAAGCGACCTTTGCAAGTCATTTGAACTTTCAGGACGTCATAAATAGAACAAGGCATCAATTTACTGTCGGGGATTTATCATGTCGCGTCGTGCCTAGTGTAAACAGCATCACTTATTACAATGGGTTCAACATTTTGTCGCGCCGTGCCGCTCACGTCCGGCGTAGATATGGTGTTATGGTGCATTTCCACTAAAGCGTCAAATCTGTGCTCAGTGCCGCTAAGAACACTACAACGCCACTGCTTTTGGGGTGTGTCAAACTTAGGCCAAAGCACGCCTCTGAAAACATTAGGTGTGTTCGACTTGAAGCGGCCCTGCGCAGACCGATCAGAATCTGACTTAAAGCAGTGCATGCCGGTTAGAAATTTTGTCCGACCTGAGACGGCGCCAATGCCATGTCACTGTCATGGTGAGTTTCCACTGGCAAGTAGTGAGCTCAGCGGAGTGAGCGTTTTCAATGCATTCCTATGGAATTTGAGCTTAAACGCTCGCGTGGAGCATTATGGGATTGAAAGCGGTGTGGAGAAAGCGTTGAGAGCGGCCGAGAGCGGCCGAGAGCATCAAAAAGTTTGGGCATTCCTTGACTTTATACAAATATCGAGCGAAAAACGCTGCGCGACAACCAATCACTGTGAAAAGAAGATGATGAAATGTAAACAGGTTGTTAACATTGTTTTCAGAGGTGTGCTCTGCCCTAAATTTGACACGCCCCAAAGCAGTGGCGTTGTAGCACTGCCAGCAGCACTGAGCGCAGATTTGATGCTGTAGTGGAAACGCACCTTCACATGTGGCATCAAAGTGCCACAAGAGCATTTCAAAAGCAGCCGGCTACAGGAGCTCTGATGAACACAGTTGTTTCACGATTCGCCAAACTCAGCACATGACAACGATGACGTGTGTTTCGGGTTTGTTCTAACACATTCAATTGCAATAATGCTCACAAATGTGTTTTTAGAACAATAAAAGCTTTTTTACTGTAGTCGCAATGTTATATTGAGTCATGTTTATCATAAAACACTGATAAAAGCATATATTTTATTAGTACTAATACACTTTATTAGTATTTAAATAGTATATGTTTATGTTGAAATTTATTCTTGAACAGATGGCACTGTATTAAGCAGTATATAAAAATGTTTATGTTGCTCACGAAAATGATTCTGAAACGTCTGTGTATTTGACAAATATTGCATTTAATTCAGTTCATCTGTGATATGCAAACTCCATTTTCAACTCCGCCCCCAACTACAAGCGGCTACTCTCATTGACCGCCGTCTGTAGCCGTGTCGAACACACCTAATGTTTACACCCTGTTTATTGTAGATCGGGGGCGCATTCCCTTCAGAAACAAACGTAATTCACTGCGTCTTCAGCGGCTCAGATGTCGGAAGTAAAGGACTACTGCTATGTTCATCATTACATCCAACAACAGAATACCTCAATCGCTTAGGAGTCACTCTTGTCTACATCTGCTCCGGCGGTGAAACAATGGTGGACTGATGACAGCTCAGTCAGGGCGGGTCTAAGGTAAGACACCAGTCCAGTAAATGTTAATGAGCTATGCTGACCCTGCCCTTCTCTTCCGAGCCGCTCACTGAGAGACGATAAACTTTAGCCACATTCATCGTAAAACTCGCTAATTAGCACATTATTAGGAAAGGCGATTTGCAAAGATTCATTAAAAAAACCTTACACTCACTTCTTCTGGAGGAAGAGGAATGATTCGCGCGAACATAGAAGCATTTATGTAGATCGGGGGCGCATTCCCTTCAGAAACAAACGTAATTCACTGCGTCTTCAGCGGCTCAGATGTCGGAAGTAAAGGACTACTGCTATGTTCATCATTACATCCAACAACAGAATACCTCAATCGCTTAGGAGTCACTCTTGTCTACATCTGCTCCGGCGGTGAAACAATGGTGGACTGATGACAGCTCAGTCAGGGCGGGTCTAAGGTAAGACACCAGTCCAGTCTGTGCTGAAACGCTACTGTCAATCAAACAATTGTGGGAGGGGCCTGTCTGTGTGACGTCACACAGCTGAAGCGACCTTTGCAAGTCATTTGAACTTTCAGGACGTCATAAATAGAACAAGGCATCAATTTACTGTCGGGGATTTATCATGTCGCGTCGTGCCTAGTGTAAACAGCATCACTTATTACAATGGGTTCAACATTTTGTCGCGCCGTGCCGCTCACGTCCGGCGTAGATATGGTGTTATGGTGCATTTCCACTAAAGCGTCAAATCTGTGCTCAGTGCCGCTAAGAACACTACAACGCCACTGCTTTTGGGGTGTGTCAAACTTAGGCCAAAGCACGCCTCTGAAAACATTAGGTGTGTTCGACTTGAAGCGGCCCTGCGCAGACCGATCAGAATCTGACTTAAAGCAGTGCATGCCGGTTAGAAATTTTGTCCGACCTGAGACGGCGCCAATGCCATGTCACTGTCATGGTGAGTTTCCACTGGCAAGTAGTGAGCTCAGCGGAGTGAGCGTTTTCAATGCATTCCTATGGAATTTGAGCTTAAACGCTCGCGTGGAGCATTATGGGATTGAAAGCGGTGTGGAGAAAGCGTTGAGAGCGGCCGAGAGCGGCCGAGAGCATCAAAAAGTTTGGGCATTCCTTGACTTTATACAAATATCGAGCGAAAAACGCTGCGCGACAACCAATCACTGTGAAAAGAAGATGATGAAATGTAAACAGGTTGTTAACATTGTTTTCAGAGGTGTGCTCTGCCCTAAATTTGACACGCCCCAAAGCAGTGGCGTTGTAGCACTGCCAGCAGCACTGAGCGCAGATTTGATGCTGTAGTGGAAACGCACCTTCACATGTGGCATCAAAGTGCCACAAGAGCATTTCAAAAGCAGCCGGCTACAGGAGCTCTGATGAACACAGTTGTTTCACGATTCGCCAAACTCAGCACATGACAACGATGACGTGTGTTTCGGGTTTGTTCTAACACATTCAATTGCAATAATGCTCACAAATGTGTTTTTAGAACAGTAAAAGCTTTTTTACTGTAGTCGCAATGTTATATTGAGTCATGTTTATCATAAACCACTGATAAAAGCATATATTTTATTAGTACTAATACACTTTATTAGTATTTAAATAGTATATGTTTATGTTGAAATTTATTCTTGAACAGATGGCACTGTATTAAGCAGTATATAAAAATGTTCATGTTGCTCACGAAAATGATTCTGAAACGTCTGTGTATTTGACAAATATTGCATTTAATTCAGTTCATCTGTGATATGCAAACTCCATTTTCAACTCCGCCCCCAACTACAAGCGGCTACTCTCATTGACCGCCGTCTGTAGCCGTGTCGAACACACCTAATGTTTACACCCTGTTTATGTTTCATCGTCTTTTAATGGCGGTTTGCAAACTAAACCCTTTATTGGTGCCATCTAGGTACAACCTACATTTTTTCTTTTGCATATGATTTTTTCAACGACAAGTGATTTCAGCTCAGTAATCCACCAGTTCAGCAAACACTTGGAAACATACATCAAAATCTTGCCTTGCCTACTTGACAGTATAGTGTCCCCATCACTACACTGGGGCACTTGGACCCACACAGAGCACAGGGTGAGTACCCCCTGCTGGCCTCACTAACACCTCTTCCAGCAGCAACCTAGTTTTCCCAGGAGGTCTCCCATCCAGGTACTGACCAGGCTCAACCCTGCTTAGCTTCAGTGGGAGACCAGTCTTGGGCTACAGGGTGATATGGCTGCCGGCAAACTTTTCACAGTGATTGGTTATCGCCCAGCGTTTTTCGCTTGATTTTTGCATAAAGTCAAGGAATGCCCAACCTTTTTGATGCTCTCAACGCTTTCTCTTTGCCACTTTCAATCCCATAATGCACCGTGCATTCACACTAGCAGCGACTTTTTTTCGCTGCATGTTGCCAGAGGTTGCGATGAGGTTGCTAGGGCGTTCTCACTACTGGTTGCCTTGACAGCGAATCAGGTTTCTTGCCGTTAAATACAAAAAATGTTGAGGCGAAAGAGTAAATATAATAAAAATATAAGTTAAATCTGTAAATACAAACAAAAATGAATGAGAAACAGAGCCTACTTTTTCCCCATTGCGTATGTTTATCTACGGCTGAGAGGAGAGCGATCACATGAGCTCTACCGTCTTCTTTCCTATTGGCTGTCGCTCCCGAAAGTCGCTCTTCATTTGCATAAAGTTGAAGGATTCTGAACTTTATTGCGTCGCTGGACATGCCCCATCCGATCGCCAACGGCCGCTGTCGCACTTGTCGCCAGAAATCGCCAGCTCTCCATTGAAACGAATGGGATCGTGTCGCTTTGTCGTAGCGTGTCACTTGTAGTGTGAACAACAGGGCATAAGTCTCATTCACTTCTGAAGAAAGTGGGAGCCAGAGGGTCCGTTTCACATAAACGGTTACAGTTCTTCCCTTTTCACTGCCGCAAAACAAAATTAATTTATCAATAGGAATTGATAGTCTTTTCTAAAAGTGAGGGGAACATGTCAACCCAGTCATAGCCTAAAGATTTATTTAATAGAAGAAATGCATTTCCAGGTCATGGCACAAGCAAAGTTTACTGAACACTGCATTGCAGCAGAATATTATATTATATTATATTATAAATTTTCTTATGCGTCATAACACAGGTTCGTTCATTCTTGTTCATGAGCCAAAAGTGAAAGTGCTCTAGCGTGATGAAATAAACCGAACGTAAGCAGTCCCAGCATGATAATATCACATTGTACGTTGCCTAGCGTTCCTAATGTGTCTTGGCTGACAATGTGCTCGGTAAACCGAATCCCAAATCTCACCTTGATGTGTTGAACTGTTTTCTCAAACTCTCCTTTCAATGCTGTTCTGTTTTTAAGTTTATCTTGTAAGGACTTCAGTGCTGTAGGTTCGTTCATTCTTGTTCATGAGCCAAAAGTGAAAGTGCTCTAGCGTGATGAAATAAACCGAACGTAAGTAGTCCCAGCATGATAATATCACATTGTACGTTGCCTAGCGTTCCTAATGTGTCTTGGCTGATCATGTGCTCGGTAAACCGAATCCCAAATCTCACCTTGATGTGTTGAACTGTTTTCTCAAACTCTCCTTTCAATGTTGTTCTGTTTTTAAGTTCATCTTGTAAGGACTTCAGTGCTACATTTAGCTCCTCCTGAAATTTGAAGTGAAAATCTATAAGACACCAGAGATTTTTGTAGGCTAATATGTTAATATGTAATGCATGATCTTAAACAAGTATTATCCTTATATGCAAATAAGTCTTACCTTATATGATGAAACAGCTTCACTTATTGGTCTGAATTTGTGATTGTCGTGTTGTTGTGAATCTCTGCACACTAAACACACAGGCTGTTTGTCCTCCAGACAGAAGAGTTTGAGTTTCTCACCGTGTAAACTGCAGACCTCCTCGGATCCTGATGATAGCCTCTCATTTTTCTCCTTCTGGAAAGAGTCACACAAGTTTTTTAACACACGATTGCAAGGAGGATCATTTCTTGAGGATCTTCTTCTGCAGACAGGACACTCCTGGGTTTTCTTGGTTCTCCAGAACTGTTGAAGACACTCTTTACAGAAACTGTGACTACATGATAAAACAACAGGATCCTTGAAGATTTCATGACACACGGGACAAGAAAAATCCTCTTCAGATAGTGAATCCATTTTTGCAGTTTGAGCTCCAGCAATTAAAATTTTATTTTCACTTTCTGATTGATTGTTTGAAGAAAAAAGGATCATAAAAATACAAAGATCTGCAGTTTTTTATCTATCTAAACCTATCAAAAATTCTTCTTGAACATGTTTCTCTTCCTTCTCTACTGATTGCTGATTCTTTTGTGCTTTTGTTAAGATAAAGTCAGTAAGATGTAAAGGAGAAACGATACGTCAGTCTACCCTGGTTAGTGATGTAAGAGGGTGGATCAGTTTCTAAACAAATACAGTTAAATTCTGCAGCCGGTTACACAGGAAAATCAGGATATATTCAGGTTACTGTAAAAAACTGCATTCAAAATTAACTTGCCTTGACATGCTCAAACATAATGAAAACCAAAAACAAAAGAACGAGAGAACCCACTGAAATATGAAGACTTAAACCACTTTATTTGTGGAGTTGGTTTTCACTGTTACACAGATGATACTCAGTCCTATATTTCTTTACAGCCTGATAAAACATACCAATTTACAAAACTAATGGAATGCATGGTTGATGTTTTATTTACTGGACCAAAAACCACCGTATGTAATAACCTAGAATACTATTTAACTCTTGATGAATGTATTAAGTCTTTGTTGTCAGTCAAGAACCTGAATGTGTTACTTGATAGCAAATTGTCATTAGAAAGCTGCATCTTCACCTGTATGAGCACTGAGTTGAGTGTCAGCAGCCAATGCCACGCATTGGAGTGACGTCAACTCCCATCCTCGACTGAATGGCTAGAGGAGGAGCTGTCAATTTAGAATTAGTGGACCAATGATGATGATTAAGCCCGCCCTGATTTACATGAAACTGCAATATTTGGAAAAGCAAGCACAGAACTTGGAAACAAGAGTGAAGGGAAAAAACAGCATGAGCATACAAAACCTGAAAATATGAGCTGAAAATGTCTGAGAGCACAACAATTTTGTTTTTTATTTTTATTTACACTATTATTTTTCAATCTGTGACCATGTTGTTTGCTATTCTGATAAGAAGTTTTGTGCAATATTTTACATGCGCTACGCTAATTATTTTTTGATCAGTGACCACAAATGCTTTTGGTGGAAAACTGATCCCATACCACATTTCTAGCATTTGTTAAACTTTTTTTTTAACTGAAAATAAAAAAAATTGGCTTTCCGAAATGTACACGAACCTCGAACAAGTGTATTTAACAGAAATACGTCATACATCCAAATGATTAAAAAAAAGCCATGTTCAGCATGAGAATCCAACTCAATGGTGTAAATAAGTATGAATGCATGAAATAGCAGACCTACCCTTTAAAATTTTATTCAGAGAATGGAACTGATATCACATTATCACACATCTGTTCAAAAAAGTTCAAGAGATCATAATTTGTTCTGAAATGGAGTCAATGTTTGTATGAGATTCCAGTGAGTCATTTAGTGAATCCCAGTGACACTGCAAATTTGTTCCAACAAAGACAAAATACATAGGGATTTAAGACAACAGGGAGTTGGTAAAACCACACAGCCTTGATGGGGTAAATGGTAATAACCCTGAATTGCTACAGAAAAAAGAAAAAGACAAATAATTTATGAATATAAAAGATGAAAGCAGGAAGATCCAGACCTACAGACCTGTTTACTGACTACTAAACGGTAAGATCCTGAGAGGGGAAAAACTATCAAAGGATGGAAAGACAGTGTCAGTGAAAGTGGTTGTGAATGTGTGTAGATGTGTGTTAGTTACAGGATCAGAGAATGACACAGTTCCTCTGTCATAGTCCAGATCAACTCTTACACGCTCAAGATACTGTTTAACATGGAAACCAGACCGTTCACACAATCCATACTGATCATACTGCACATTCCAGACATCAGTGTTATAAAAATCACACCCCTTCCTTTTGTTAGATGCTGTAGTCACTCCAAGACTCCAGCATAAACTCTCTTTAACCTCCACATCCCAGCAGTGTGTTCCTGAGTTAAAACCCTCTGAACCCAAAACACAGTAATAATCATCAAATCTCTCTGGATTATCAGGAAGCGGTTGTTTGTTCTCGCTCCATCTCAGACTGGTCAGATCATCAGACACGAGGAGACGTGGATGAGCCGTGTTTGGATCCAGAATCACAGGAGCTGATGAGACACAATCAACAGCTGCTTTTATTATGATGTTCATATAATCACCAAGAGTGAATCAAACACAGATTATTATGAATTATGACACGCGTCCTATTGACAAAACTGTCTGATTACTCAAACTGAACTCTATAGATCTGCTGTATCACTGTAACTGTTAATTTCATGTTCTGCTAAAATCTGTAAATCTTTCCCCATGCATAATTTCCAGGGGATTTGTAACCGTACAGACTCACTGTTTTGGACTATGTCCCGCATCTTCTTCCAGACTCTGAAGGGCAGGTTGCCCAAGTAACGTGGCACATGAATCAAAGCTTCAGAAGGAATCTGTAGATCGGGCTGCAAGATCTGGACTCTGGAAGAACATTCAGGAGTCAGAACTGCAGTGGCTTTGGCTTCAGAAGCAGAGACACCAGCAGATCACTCACCTTTCCATTGAGACTGGAAACTTCTGCAGAACAAACACACAATTTATCATCAATCAATCAATCAATCAATCAATCAATCAATCAATCAATCAATCAATCAATCAATCCATGATCTGAAATCAGACCTTCAGAAAGCAGATGTCATTGTCTTTCATCATCTCCTCTGTGTCTTTGATTGTGTGTGAAAGAGCTGAGATGAGTCTGTTGATCTCCTCCAGCTTCTCCATCATGTTCTTCTTCTGCTCCTCTTCCTCCCTCAGTGCAGTGATTGTAGCTTCTTCTTCATCTCTGAGAAACTGATGAAGCTTCTCAAACTGCTGTTTATTCTGACGCTCTGTGTGCTCAGTTTGAGACTGAAATCAAACCACATTCACTTAAAATGACGCAAATTATTCTGCAGCAGCATGAAGCATGAGTGGGTAAGTGTGGGTTACTAATGACTAATCATGCATGCAAGTAGCATCTGCCTTAATTAATTCACTGTATTTTGTGCTGCTGAGTGGTTTGCAATTATAGCTTTGTATAGCTTCGCTTTTCTGTTATATATCTATCTTACTATCACTCTCTGTTGTTTAAAGTGATAAACTATAACTTAATTTCCACAATTGTTCTGATATTATCTATCAAACTAATCTGACAAATTTGATAATTCGCTTTTAAGCTAAAGCCGCGAGTGCAGCTTGTTAGCATTCGTTAGCAGGTTAGCTTGTCATTCGCGTTTCCATTCGCATTTCTATTTGCATCTATTACTGTTTTCTTTTTTTCTCCATCCGTTTCTTTTCTCTCTCGCTCTGTTTTTCACGAGTTCATCAAACAGCAGTGCTAAGTCAGAATCATTCATCAATCACAGTGAGTAATGGATTCTTCTCCTGCTATTGTTGTTTGCACCGCTTGCCACATGCATAGTTCATCTCTCTCTGTCAGCGACGAGGGATTCACATGTGATAAATGCAGGGAAATAGTTAGGCTGACAGAGAAAGTTTTAGAAGTAGAGACAAACATCCAAACTTTAATTGAGGATAGTAAGAATGTGAGGGCTGTAGATACAGCTTTGGATGCGACGAACTCAGGGAGTCCCGTACATTGTTCGGTTCCGGTTACAGAGCCTCCTCAGCAGGGTGACTGTGAGGCGGCATAGTCACGGGTCAAAACACCGCTCTTCCGTTACGATCAAAGCATCAAAAAGGTTCTCCCCACTCAGTGAGGCACCCACTGAGAAACCTGATCAAAGTGCTCTAGTTATTGGCGAT